ATTTGGTCTGGGCCCGAGGTGGGCTTAATAACCGGCGACTACTGTAATAATATTTTCTAGTACGGATATGACCGGTGAAATCATGTTCTTATTACTTTGAACTTGGCTACTTATGTGATTCACGTAGGCATGTAATAGTGCCGTTAAAAAACAGAACAGTCGGCATTAGGCTGCCACACGAGCTACTGTTAGGCTTGCGATGTTGGGATTATTTTTAGAGCTAGGATTAGAGTTTGTTTACGGACCAAGGTTAGCTTTAGGCTTAGGGCTAAGTCGGACATTTTGGCTTCCGATGGAATTAAGAGCTTGCTGCGCTGCCTCGTAAACTGATTCGGCGTATGGAAACATCTTTTTTCCGTGTTTACTATTTTTACAGCTAACTGTCATTTCGCAGTCCAAAGAGCCCTTATTACTGCCATTGTCGCATTACAGGGGACCTTGCTTTCTGGTTTGTGAAGTACTGACACCGACTAGGTCCTTTTTTTACTCCGACAGCCCTTTATGGGCAACGCCAAAGAGGAGTTCCCGTCCGCAAGATAACGCCCTATTTCCCAGACGACGGCTGAATGGGGGCAGAAAAAGAAGACCATCGGCCCTTCCGTTGTCACTCTGATATTACCATAACTTGCAGAGATTCGAAAACCAGGCGGCTGGTTGCCTGTTCGTGAGCCCCGTCAGCCACCCTATGTAAAGCTCGTTTTGCGCCAGTGCATGGCTGGGAACCTAGCTTTGCATTGACTGAGCGCAAATTAAGTTTGCGTCCAGACGGGACATACAAGTTGCTCGTGGGTGTGTCAGACATCCTGGCTTATTGTTAAAGATAAAGTCCTTTGGGAACGAAAAAGGTTTATTGTGCGAATTTTTGAGTCTGGTTCCCCAGATACCAGGTATAGACTGCGCACAAGCCGGCATCTACTTTGCGCGCTCAGCTTGTACACCCTAAGGACAGAGCTGGCCAGTACAACAAAAAGAAAGTCAGCTATAAAATACCGTGCACCAGTTGTGATGCAGTCTATTGTGGTCAAACCGGAAGGGTTCTATACACCCGCATACATGAAAATCAGTTAGCGGTGAGGAGACGAGACGAGACCACATATCGGAGGTTGCCATGCACACAGTGAACAAAGGACACGCATTTGCATGGGAACAAACCCAAATCGTTGGCGCCTGTCAAACTAGGAAGGGCCTCGAATTCCTGGGGGCAACGCGCTCAGACGAGGCGTGCATCAACAGGCATATCGATTTAGATGTGAACTACAAATCTTTCAAGATCAGATGGAAGCCAAAACAGCCACCACCGACCGCATGGCTCACGGCGAGCCTCGTAGCTCAATGGTGGAGCATTGGCTGCACAAAAACCTTTCCTGTTGTATGGGTTCGACTCCCACCGAGTCTGTGAATTTTTCAAAATTGGGTCAACTGAATTATTCAAATCTGCCAACCCCCCCCCCATCCCCCAAAAATCTATTGAAATATGAACACCATGTTTGCCGATACAAGCGAAAATACGAGTCCAAAGAAGAAATTGAGAAAAATTTGCCGTGATCATCGGAGTAATAACATTATTCGGCAGATTTTTCGGATTCCAGCTCGAAGTCAGTTTCAAAGACAGCCTCAGATAAGGCTAATTCGCACACAGGGGGTTGCAGTATACATATTAGGCAAACACCAGGCTACTGCATACATATTACAATTAAAAGTTTCCACTCATCGAGGATGATTGTCCTTTGGTACGATAATCACTTAATGGCCGGCGCTCGAGTGGTTAATTGCTGGAATTTCATCGTCCATTTTAGAAGTTGGCATGACGATGCCTCCGCAGCCTGGCACACCGGCATTTGCCTGTTCTCCTGCGCGCTCTCCTATTGGCTGATTGTTTTAGCCAAACCAAGTTTCAGCACCGACTACGGGGGGTGAGGTCATTGCGCTTGTTAGTAGACCCGTAAACCATGACTCAAGCACTTCACACGGCTCACACGATTGTCACCTCTCGCGAGAAGCTCGGCCTCATCAAAAA